TTCACAAGGTGTTTAGTTATGTCAAGGATCCCTGCTGGTATGGTGGTTAAGTGCTTGGCTGCTAACTGAATGGTAAACAGTTTGAACCCACCAGCCACTCTGTGGGAGAAAGATGTGGCAGTCTGCTTCCGTGAAGATTACATACAGCCTTGGAAACCATGGGGCAGTTCTACTTTGTTCTGTAGGATTGCTGTGAGTCAGAATCGACTTGATCGCAATGTGTTCAGTTTGTTTTTTCGTTGGTTATGTCTAAGAATTATCTGTAACTATGCCGTCTATGTGTTTTAGTGTATACGTGAATATATATGCGTGCACACACATACCTGCATATGATACACATAAAGAAACATCTCTTTGTGTATGTATATGTGGTGGTGGTGTTGTTAGATGCTGTAGAGTTTGTTCCAACTCATAGCGACCCGATGTAAAACAGAACAAAACACCACCTCATCTTACACCATCCTCACAATCATGCTTGAGCTCGTTGTTGCAGCCACTGTGTCAGTCCATCTCCTTGAGCGTCTTCCTCTTTTTCGCTGACCCTCTACTTTACCAAGCAGCCTGAGCTTTTAACCACTATGCCACCAGGGCTCCCATATGCATGTATGCCTATATAAATACATATGTAACCACACACTTTTTTTTTTCCTTTGGTTGTTGTTGGTGTTGTTTCAAAATTATACGTCTTATCCTTTACCAAGTATATTCTTTTCTCTGATGTACTTCTTAGTGACATCATTTACCTTGGACAAGCTGTGCACACTTCGCCGACATTCAGTACTACCTTTCCCATCACCTAAAATAAGTATCTACTATCTAGAGAGTGATTCCCCCTCACCTCACCCCCCACTCATCCCTGACGATCACTGATCCTGTTCTTCATCAATGAATGTTGATCTCTATATATATACTTACTCTTGTCTTCTTATAAAAGTGCAATCATACGTTATTTGTCCTTTTGTGATTGACTTGTTTCACTTAGCATACTGTCCTCTAGATTCATCCACATTATGTTTCGAGAACTCATCATTATTCTTTATGGCTGTGTAGTGTTCCCTTGTATGTATGTACCGTATTTTGTTTATCCATTCATCTCTTGATGGGCACTTAGGTTGTTTCTATCATTTTGCTCTTGTGAATAATGCTGCAGTGAACATAGGTATGCATATGTCTGTTCATGTTGCTTTTATTTGATCTCTGGAGTATATACCGGGGTGGGATTGCTGGATCAGAGGATATTTCTGTTTGTAGTTTTTTTTAGGAAGTGCCATGCCATTTTCCATAGTGGTTGTACCATTTCACAATCCCCCCAGCTCTCCCCACATCCTTGCCAGCATTTATTGTTTTCTGTTTTACTTTTTACCAGTGCCATTTTAGCAGAGGTGAGATGGTATCTCATTGTAGTTTTAATTTGCATCTCTCTGATAACTAGTGACGGCGAACATTTTTTCACGTGTTTGTTGGCTGCTTGAATGTCCTTTTTGGTGAAGTGTCTATCTGTGTTCTTTGCCCCTTTTTCAATTGGATTTTTTGTCTTTTTGTTGTTGAATGTTTGAAGTTTTCTATATATTTTATAGATTAGGCTCTTATCAAATATGTCTGAAGGTTTTTTCCCAGTCTGTATGTTGTCTTTTTACTCTTTTAATAAAGTCTTTTGATGAACATAAGTATTTTTTAATGAGGTCCCAGTTATCTAATTTGTCTTCTGTTTGTGCATTTGTAGTTGTGTTTGATAATCTATTTTTGAAAATAATTTAGTCCCATAGTTTTGTCCCTATGTTATCTTCCAGGAACTTTATAGTTTTAGCTTTAACATTTTGGTGTTTGGTTTAGTTTTCGTGTATGGTATGAGATATGGATCTGTTTCATTTTTCTGCCAATGATTATCCAGTTTTGCCAGCATCATTTGTTAGACTGTCTCTTCCCCATTGAATGGACTTTGACCCCTTGTCAAAAATTAGTTGTCCATACGTGGATAGATTTATTTATGGATTTTCAATTCTATTTCACTGGTCTGTGTGTCTATCATTGAACCAGTACTAGACTGTTTTGATTACTGTGGCTATTTAGTGTGATTGAGGTTGGTGAGTGAGAGGCCTCCAACTTTGTTTTTCTTCAATATTGTTTTGTCTATTCTGGGCCTCTTACCTCTCCATATAAAGTTGTCGATTAGTTTTTCCATTTCAGTAAAGAATATTGTTGGAATCTGAAAGGGATTTATCTATACCTCTCTTTGGGTTGTGTTGACATTTTCACAATGTTAAGTCTAATCCACGAGCATGAAATGTTCTTCCATTTATGTAGGTCTCTTTTAATCTCTTATAGTAATGTTTTATAATTTCCATTGTATATGTTCTTTTACATCCCTAGTTAGGTTTATTCCTAGACATTTTATCATTTCAGGTGCTATTGTAAATGGTATTATTTTCTTGATTTCCTTTTTGAAGTTCTCCTTGTTAGTATAGAGGAACCCTGATGACTTTTATGTATTGATCTTGTACCCTACAACATTGCTGAATTCTTCTGTTAGATCCAGTAGCTTACTTTGTAGAATCTCTGAGATTTTCTTTGTATTGAACCATGGCATCTGCAAGTAGAGATGGTTTTACTTCTTCCTTTCTGATTTGGATACTCCTTATTTCCCTTTTTAGCCTTATTGTTCTGGCTAGGACTTCCAGTACAATATTGAATAAGAATGGTGATTAATGGGCATTCTTGTCTCAGTCCCATTCTCAAGAAGAAGGCTCTCAGTCTTTCTCCATTAAGAATAATGTTGGCTGTTAGTTTTGTATATATGCCCTTAATTATATTGAGGAATTTCCCTCAATATTCCTATTTTACTGAGAGTTTTTATCAAGAGAGAGTGTTTGAGTTTATCAGATACCTTTTCTGCATCAATTGGGATGATCATGTGGTTCTTTTCCTTTGTTTTATTTATGTGTTGAATTACACTGATTGATTTTCTAATGTTCAACCATCCTTGCAATCCTGGTGTGAATCCCACTTGATTGTGATGTTTGATTTTCTTAATATGTTATTGAATTCTATTTAGAGCATATCTTCTAAATGAAAAAATTATATGTGTTAGAGCATGTATTCCAAGTCAATTTAGATCTCTCCCTGTGTTCACCATTCCTATTGTTCTTTATGCCTTCCTGCAACTATTCTTCCCTCTGACATCATTTTCCTCTCTTGTTTTTTTAATCCACTAAAATTGACTTTTTTGGACATGGTATGTGTGATGTTCAGTCCAGATTCATTTTTCCCCTATGTAGATAATTAAGCCTGGCATCATTTATTGAATAATTCATCTTTTCACTACTATCTGCAGTACCACTTCTGATATTACAGACATATATTGTGTCCATACATTGGTAGGTTGGTTTCTGGAGTCTTAATATGGTTCCATTGGTCTATTTGTCTCTCTCTCTTGCTCCTAGTACCGCAATCTTAATTGTTGTAGCTTTATAATAAATGTTGATGTCTAGTAGCAGAAGCCCTCCAGCTTTGTTCTTATTCAAGATTATCTTGGATATGCCAGGGCTCTTGCATTTCGATATAAATTTTATAATCTTGTAATGTTCTAAAGAGAACTGTTTCAGATTTTGATTGGAATTACATTAACTCTGCAGAACAATTTTGCCAGAAATGATACTTTTACAGTATTGGATTATTTAATCCAAGATCTTGTTATATTTCTGAATTTATTTCAGTATTCTTTGTATCTTTTAGATAAAATTATGATTTTCTTCATAAATCTTATACCTTCTTTGTCAGATTAAATCCTAGGTTCTTTATATTTTTTGATGCTATTATAAATGGTTTATTTTATGTTTTTTTCTACCATATTGAATTTTAACTCATTTTTGTAGAAAGATTTTACAATTAGAAGCTTTTTAAAATATTATTCATTCTGATAATTAATCCATAGATGCATTTGAATTTTCTGGATGTATAATCATATCATCTTGAATGATAACAATATGTCCTGTAAGATATGATTAGGTTTAGTGATGGTAGGTACTCTTCATCTTTCAGTGTTTTATTATGAACTGTGATGATTGCTTCAAATTTTTAGATATCCCTTGTTTGATTAAAGATGCTCCCTGTTATTCTTAAGTTTGATGAGGGTTTTTATATACTTCTGTTTGACTTCTTTTGATCAGCTTTACAGTATGTATTTTATTATATTACTATGCCTCAGTTTATTCATTCTGTTGTAGATGGATATTTGGTATGAAGTCTTTTAACTTGTCTGTCTCTTATGCTATACTATGAGCTTCTTGCAGTGTGTAACTTTACCTTACTCATCTGTCTCCTAGTACAATTCCTAGCACATAGTAAGCAGTTAGTAAATAATTTAGTGGATCACTGAGTGATTGTCGTTTTTTTAATGCAATCCTCAGATTTATTAGAAATATATGGAATAGATTTTAAATTCTAAAATGTATAAATTCAAATATTGTTTTAGTTTATACTTAGGTTGATGGCATTCCTGTATAACAGCACTAATCTATATTCGTTTTTATTGTCTTTTTTTTTTTAATAATATTTTATTGTGTTTTTGGTGAAGATTTACACAGCAGTTTAGGTTCCCATTCAACAATTTCTACACAAGGTGTTCAGTGACATTGGTTACATTCGTCACAATGCACAAACATTCTCATTATTTCCATTTTGGTTGTTCCATTTGTTACTGTCATTTTTATTGTTATTTATTTAGACATTTGATGGAATTTAAGCACTTTGTTTTGTTGTTATTTTACTATTTGATTTTTCCATAGAGTGTATACATTTCCTGAAATCAGAGATAATGTCATCTCTCTCATAGTATTCAACATAATACTAGACTGTTGAAAGTGTTCAGTTAAAATTAAGTCACTTAAATAAACAAACTTTTATATATACTTCAAGTGACCATAACAAATGGTGGTTGAATTTGTTCATCAAAGGAGATTACTTCTTCCTGAATTTAAAAAATGTTGTATTTTTGGCCACAGAGTGAAGGCAAGAGATGTTCTCTTAAAATTGATAGTGATGATGAACCACATACTTCTAAAAAAGATGAGGTTGATCGAGCTGTGCTATTATTCAAACCTATGGTATCAGAGCCAATTCATATACATAGAAAATCTCCACTTCCAAGATCTAAGAAGATGGCTGCAAATGAAGTAAGTATAGATGTTATAACATGTTTTTCATAAAGTAAACTAACTATATTTTAATAAAACAGAAAAGAAAATACAGCTTTAATTGTGCAGCTTAGAAACTTAAACAGAATTTTTAATTGTCAAGTTTGACTACTTTTCAAATAAATTTCAAAAAATACAGAGGCAATTAGGAAATATAGAGATTAGTTGTAGAACTTGGAGCTTTGTATATAGTTTCAATAACACGAATGGATAGAAATATTAAAGCTTTTCTAATAACATGATAAAATGATCCACTTATTTTACTTGTCACTTAGGCTGTTCTTAAATAAAGAAGTTTTTTTTCTAAGTTTGATTTATTTGATCAGAAATAATTTTTAGTTAATAATAAAGATGCTTTAGCAGCAACTGTTTCCAGTAACACTGTAGGTTAAGATATAGAAGTCCCATTGTTAGCCCGAATGCAAAAATATAGTAATATGGAAATTTGATGATATAGTTGAAAATTTTATCTTTATATTAAGATCTACAATTAAATAGGTTAGGCTAATTTTTACTTTCATTAATAGAACAACACATAAATAGCTACTAAAATAACATTTAAAAAGAAAATTAGTTGGACTGGAGTTTGTTAAGTAAATCTTTAACATCTATACATTTTAATACTTTAAATTCCTTTATTTGGGATTATCTGTACTCTATAGGATAATTCTCCTATCACTGTTTGAAGTTAATGCTTATAAATGTTTTCTAAATGCTCTAGTAAAAGTATAAAGCAAGAAATTAACTTTAAGATAGAACTATCAACTTTTAAGTCAGAAAAATACTTTTTGTTGATATTTAAATCTGTCAAGTCTGAGGAATTAGATATAACATTATCCAGCAGTTGATGGGTAGGAATAATGTAATTTGTAACCTAGTTAAGGTTCCCTTGAATATGGTATTTTAAGGTAAATACAAAAGAGAGTGATTAACAATTGTAGAATTATTTGTTTTATTATAGCATAACTGATAAATCAGAAATCTTGGGTTATGTTTAGGTATCCTTAATTTCAGAAAACCAAGAAATGACATATATTAATATAACCTAAAACTACTGTTTATATGAGAGCAGTGATTTTGATGTTTTGTTGAACAAAACAATCTGTGGCTAATCACATTGTTCAGAATTTCACCATTAAACACTCTCCTCTGACCTCCAAAAGCCTATTATATGGATACAGCAAATGTATTGGTGTGTCTTCATTTTGTAACTCATCTATATTTGCAAAATCTTCACCTAAATCACTGCCCTTATTAACTCCTAAAACGCTGAACACATTTATAAATCTTTCTCTCATAAATACTTAAATAGTTGCTTTCAAGAGATTATTTCCATGCCATGCTAAACTCTTACTTTCATAAGGTAAATTATTCAAGTAAAACCTTGAAGACTTTTTCCAGCGCCCACCATCTCCATGGATATCAGACGTTTGTACTTCAAAAAGACACACAGAGAAAAAGACTATTCTCTTCATTTTGTGCAAGTAGATTTTACTCTGTCCTTCCTGTCTGAAATCTAAACATGCAGACATGTAAAATGTGAATGTTTGCTGCATGTTTTGCCTACTGAACTCTACAAATAATCTTTGGAGGGGTTAAACAGATAGCTTGAAAGTATAAACAAGTGCAGTTTGAATCCATCTTATGCTCTCTGAATTTTTGTTTTTTTCCACTGTTAGATTTTTTTCTTTTCCCCCCTTAAAGTTTATACATTGAAATCTCTTAAATTCTTTGCACGGTTCTTGCTTTGACTTGAAAAGTGCATCCAATATAGCACAAAACCTCTTGAACATTTAAAATTAAGCAGAAAACTTATATTTAAGAAAATTTGTTAGAATAGGAAATTGCCAAATATTTTTTAGTTTTGACAGTGAAAGAACAACTACTTATTAAGCAGTTTAAATATTTTATATATTTAAGATAATAAGGTATTTCTTATAATTGTTATCACATATAATTAGATTTATAAGTCATTCCTATGAAATTCTCAAATGTTGGAATATTTGGCTCCCAAGTTATTGTTTAATAGTTTCAGAAAAATTAATAATCAAATGCAAACAAACTGTATTTTTTTTTCTTTCTGATCATTTGGCTCTGTTATATCTAACTTTGCATGCTCTGCTTTTTTTTTTTTTTTTTCCCTTTTTTTTTTTTTTTTTTTTTTTTGCCCCCTTTCTCACTTCCAGGAAGAGAGCCCCCTGAGTGTGTCTAGCCCAGAGGGTACTGGTACCTGGCTGCATTATACCAGTGGTGTGGGTACTGGGCGTCGAAGACGCAGATCAGGGGAACAAATCACTTCTTCCCCTGTCTCCCCCAAATCATTGGCTTTCACATCCAGTATTTTTGGCTCATGGCAACAGGTTTTTAAACTTTACTTCATTAAACATTTTTCCTCCCTGCATTCAGAGCAACAAACAGCTCTCTTTGAGGACATCTAATCCCTTGTATTTTACATCAGAGTAAATCCTTCTGTTTTGGGGTTCATTTAAAAATGCTTGTGATATCTGACAATATTTGAGGTAGAGAAATCACTTGCATTGCATGTGTTTAGCATTTTTACTGGGAGAGTTTTAAATCCAGAATTAAAAAAATACTACATTTTATACTCCTGGAACTTTAGCTTGATTGATAAATTTTTTTAAATGAGAAAGAAAATTCTCTCTTTGGCTTTGTTGTCCTTCAAAACTTTCAGAAACAAAATTACTTAATTTTATAGTAGGAAAATTTAATGATTTTTTCCTGTAATAAATGAAGAATTAGATTCCATTTGGAATTTGCTGAGAATGTTAACATTTTTAAAAATACCAAAATTTCAGTGTCCCAGTATTAACTAGCAGGATGTGTCTAATATTGATCATTTTCTTCCTTGCTGTTCCATTATGTGGAAGTATCTTCTTTTAAGGACTGCATAACAGTATGTCTTCCTTTGGGCTATACAATATTTTAATGCTTTCTTTATAAGAGGGGACAAGTGTATATGTGCCCATCAATAATTTGAATTAAAAAAAAGACTTCAGAAGGACTTTCTGTGATGACATTTGGAAACTTAAAATACTGTGGTTTTTGTTACAATGGAAGGTCTGCTGTTACACACCTGACTTTTCTGAGAAATTCTGCAGTTTCCTTTTGGAAATATAATGCACTTGATTATAGGAAAAGGGATTATGGTATCCATTAAGTCTGTGAATATTTAAAGATTACTCTGATAAAGCCTGTGCATGGATCAGTAATTGTATGGTGACCTCAACAGTCTCTGTCTGTCTTTTCTTTTATTTGTGTTTGTTTTCCCCCCTTCAAATACAGGAGCTGTTTAAGAGTGAGCATTTGGCTTCTTTTAAGAGAGAGTGAAATTATTTCAATCTATTAATTGTTTCCTTTCATCTGTCTTGTTTCATACATGATGTTTCATTCTGAATGCCTGCTTCGCACCACTTCATTGCAAGGACTTCATATGAAATGGACTCCCTTCAGAAGGGGATCTTGCATGATCTTTCATGTTTTGTGTATTTCTACTAATATTTATCATACAGCTTATTAACCTTTGTCTGTCTGGAACAGGCTGCATATGAAGTATGGGCTTTTGAATTAATTGTACTGTTTTACTTCATTTATTTTGCTTTACTTGTGCAGGTTGTATCTGAAAATACTAATTACCTGCGTACACCAAGAAATCTTGTGGAACAGAAGCAGAATCCTGTAGGTATGTGATCCAATGAAAATTTTATTCCGTACCCTACTTATGCTCACTATTGTGCATAAATGTAAAACTCTTCAGTGTTGAAAGCATGACCAAATGCTATGCTTTAGTTTTTACTTAATGTGTACTAATTCAGAAATCTTGAGTTGTACAACTCAAAATGCACAGTAAAGTTTCAATAAAATGAACGAGAAATAATGCCCACTGTATAAACCACTCAAAGGTATAGTCCAGTTGTCAGTGTTGGTTTTTAACCTTGCAATCTATAAAGGAAAATTTCAACATGTTTTAATTTAAGAAAGAAACCATTTTCCAAGTTAATAAAGATGAAAAGATGCTATTGTATACAAAAAAAGAATTTTTTACTTTCTAATTAAAAAAAACACACACACATATTTCTTAAGTGGGAAGTGTTCCATACCCTATCTGCATATATTAATTTTCCTTTTGAGCAGCTCTTAAGGAAAACCAAAGCAAACTAATGAACAGTGGCAGTTTTACTCTTCATTGAGTTAATAGAATATAATTGCTTCTTTGTTAACACTCAAAGCAACATTGGAAAAGACCATTCTAAAACTCATTTGGTTTTAAGCTCTTGGTTGATAAACTGTGAAGTAATGGCATGTATTATTTTATGTAAATAGTTATCTAAGTAAATTTAATAACAGCTTAAATAGATCCTTGTAAGTTTATACCACATATATATTGCGATCTCTGTATAAACTGTTGATGCCTACATACTTGAGGAACTTTCTTTAGTTAATTATGTGTAAATTAGGTTGATAGTTTTTAATATGCCCACAATATCTTTCCAGAAATTTATATATTCCCCCTTCTTTTATAGATGTATCATAATATACTTGATAGAAATTTATTTAATCTTTACCCAGTTGTGAAAGTTTTGCTTGAGTGTAAAGACTTGCTACAAATTAAGCATCAATTTATTGTGGCTGTGTTTCCTTTGCTAATAGTGTTTCAGTGGGAGTTTCCTTTTTCTTTTCTTCTCCCTCCCCCCCTCAATTGAGGGTTTTATTAAGATCTTAAGTCATTTTGTTAAGTATTATAAATTTAAAATAATTTAAGCCTAAAAGGAATTGTTTTTACCTGACGTCACAAATCAAGCTTTGATTTGCTTTAGTGAAATATTGATAATTCTTAATTCAAGGACATCACAAAATATTCTTTATTTACATATATGCATTTAAAAATATTGATTTAATGTGACTTAATTTATGCTTGGAGTTTTTTCCTCCCCCGCCCCCCAAGTATGGTCTGCTCTTGCAAATTGATGACCATTAGAGCCCCATCCCATCCTAAATTAGTTTTTATGGTAGTGTTTTTAATACTTTTAGGATATTTGTGGCATTTTGTGGGCATACTATTTTTCCTCAAAGATGTTTTGTCCAGTGTTAAATTTCCCCATTTGTACATCTGATAAATGGTGAGAATGATTACATGATTAGAAACATTGTACTAAAATTGACATCATTAGGACGTTACAGGCATATTGTGAGCCTGTTCAAGGCACTGCTCAAGGTTGCCTTATGTGTGGTAAGAGCCATGTTAATTGCATGCTGCATGAATTCCCAATGTGAATGGAAGAACACCCGTTGTGTATATTTTCTCTAACTCCCATCAGGGTCTCACTGTGCGGGCCTGTTTAGCACCTCGGTGCTCGGGGGTTCTTCAAGCGCACCTAACCTACAGGATTATGCTCGTACTCATCGTAAAAAGCTGACCTCTTCTGGCTGCATAGATGGTATGTGCACACATGCACACACAGATTCATACCTACACCCACGCACACACTCATCAGCATACATATTCCTCAAAGGCAAACCTAAAGCCACTGACTGATTCAAGTGGAGTCCTAGCACCCTTTGCCTAAATGACTATCAGTGCTCTCTGTTACCCACAGCTTGGACCCATGTTTCATCAAACATTTAATTGTGGTTAGATTTACAGTATTAGCACAATGTAAAATTTAGAACTGCATCACGTGTATTCTTTTAGATAGTTGATAAGCTATATTATAAAGAATAAATCTTTCTTTTATCTTTTAAACTTTTGTTCATTGTTAACCCTTATTTTGCTTACTGATATTGATCTAAATAAAATAAACTGAGTGGAATGTTAAAAGTGGAAGAAAATATCATATTGGAAATATTTTTGTAAAAATAAGCATAGGATGAGAATATCTTAGGATCCCTAATTGAAGGAGATCCTCTCACTATTGTTAATATAACTTAAGTTTAATATTCAGAATGTCTTTTTAGGCTCATAGAAGCTTGTCCCTTTTGTTAATAAGAGTGTTTATTAGCCCTTTCAGGCTCGGCTTTATTTAAAACTTTTTCTCATATATTCCATAAGTACACTTCAGTCGGTACAACATGGATTTTCCAGATTGCCAGCTCATCCTGCTTTTCTTTCTTTTGTGTATTTCTTTAAACACTTTGCCTCTGTCATCAAGCCAGTTACTTCTTTTAACCAGTATTGGGCTTATTACCCTTTCTCATTGTACCTTCTGCATGTCACCTAATTCTAACCTCCTCATGTATTTGTTTTTCCCCTCTTTTTTTTAAGTGTCCCTCTTTTGGTAGCTGTTACGAATTTCAGGTACCTGTTTTTCTCTTTCTCAGACGCCACACGCGGTTCTGCTGTTAAAAGGTTTTCTATCTCATTTGCTCGACACCCAACCAATGGTACGTTTTGCTTTTATTTTAAAAGATACTCCCCTGCTTCATCCCTTTTTTTTATTTTTCATTTGTTTCAAAATGTGGGGTATACAGTATCATTCATTTCTCGATCCTTAATTTCAATTGGCATACAATTCCAACTTATTATTCACCTAAATTATTGATACTGTCTAGCTCCCTTTTTCAGCTATAATTTACACAATAATTTTTAAAATTACTCATCAAACTTTTAAATTGCCACAATGATGATGAGCCCTAATACCAAATTAACTCCTGAAAATTCCTCCTGATTTCCCAAGTGATCAGTCTACACAAATTTTAAAAATACAATTAGTATTCTTTAATTTGTTCTTAATTCTTTTATTTTTTTAAATTTTTTTTATTGTATTTTAGGTGAGGGTTTACACAACAGATAGTTTCTCATTAAACAGTCAGTGCACATATTTTTTTACGACATTGGTTAACAACCCCACGACTCTTAATTGTTAATAATTCAATTTTTTTCTAATTCTTTTTCTGATCACATGGTTGTTTTTATTGAGATTTTTTAATGAAAATACAGAGCTACCCATGACATATAACCAAATGAGAATGCGTCTCTGAAACGTTCTTGGGAACCAAGGGATGCGGATTGTGCTGTGTAACATCATTTATCCCTTGGCTCTTTGTCTAAAGCAAAACCTGAATTGGTCTGGAGCGCTCTGAAAACTTCATCCAGTCTTCACTTTGTCCTGGTATGGCAATATGGTTTGCTGTTGTAGAGCAACCACTTCCTTTTGTTACCACTGCTTTTTAAAAAAAATTTAGGACTCCTAGAAACCCAATTTAGTTAAATTAAACTTGGTGAGGCTGAATAAGAAAGTGTTTCAAAGCCATTGTTTATAAACGGAATTGTTGCACTACCATAGCTGCTTATAGAGAGCTTGAGCTTGTGGGGGCAAGAGTGAGTTTTTATTGATCACTTTGAAGTAATCTAGGATCAAAGAAAAGATTTCTGTTTTTTATTTGGAATGGAGGTACTTTTATTCCGAGAACTTTTTTTTTAACTGCAAGTTAGTCTTTCAAAAACTTAAAGCAGGTCTTTTCAAAAACTTGTGAAGCTAAAGGATTAAACACAAGTTTATGATCATTTTCCCCCTTCTGGATCCATCCTTTAACCATACATCTAAATAACAGTGCACTAATAACTTCTTGAAGGTGGAGTAAGAAGATCTCATCCTCGACAAGTGAAAATTTAGCCTTAAAGCTTAATGTATTTTTCCTCTGTTGTAGCTGTTTAAACGCTACTTTTTTGAAAAAGAAGTTTCTTAGTTGATACAGCTGCAGCTTTTAAAAGAAAACACATGTATAAGAACCTCCTAGAAGAAAAACAGAAGTCATAAGAAAAACAGAAGTCACAAAATTATAAGAAGACACATTGCAAGCTTAAGACTGTATTCTTTATACAGAATGCTTATGTGTGTATAACCAGTATTGCAGGTTTTATCTAGGAGAAGTCCGTTTTTAACTGAAATGTTTGAAAAGACATAATTCTGTTAAATTTAACATAAAATAGAATAGTTTTTTATTACTTTAATTTAGACTTTTTTAAAAAATTGGATTTTCTATTCCTCATGCAACTGTAATGCATGTAAAATGCATTCCTTTCAACTCTAAAAACATTTCTTTTGGGTTTTCCAGATTTCAGACTGTTTCTTTTTTCTTTTTTGTTTAATGCTATGTTGTCTTATCTGTCCTATGAATTGTCATTTGACTCTTCCTTTCACCTTTATTTCCCCTAACTTTCTTGTTACTTCCATCTTTAACATATATCACGGACTTACCCATCCCTTCATCTTTAGTTCAAGAACATGGTGAGACAAGTATCTTCTGACAGTGCTTTACCTTATTTTCTGGGCCTCTGTGCAGAACACCTACACCTCTATAGGTGCTGGTCCGTTTCCTCTGGAATTTCTAGGCTCCAGTGGTATGTTTTTATAGCTTCTAAACATGACAGCAGGGTGGCTTTTTAAATTGCTGCGCTAACCCTTTCGTTGTGCATTAAAAACAAAGTTTACTAAAGATAAATGGGAAAATGTAGTGCAGAGGAACATCATTGTATTGTCATTTGCATATTGTAAAATCTAACAGGCAAATACAAGAAAAACAATTGTTACAGAAGACTTATAAATATTTTAGGGAAAGAGAAAAAAATGCATTCTTAAGTTTAGTGTAATGCAAAGAAAGGGTTTGCGCTTATTTGCATGAATCTCGTATTTTAAAAAAATGTAATAGTTTGCCAAACCTAATTTCTTTAGTGCTTAACTTAGGTGCTTTAGCTGCTGTTTTGGTATTATACTGTTTTTTTTTTTTTCTTTTTTAAGTATTTGTAATGTTCTGTCATGCCTTGTTTGCACCTGAAAATCAAACACATCAGCTTTATAAGTCCTTTGGTGTTTTTCATAGGAAAACTAGATCCCCTTCTAACCAAAGAGTTTCCCTATTCCAGCTGAAAATTAGGCAGTTCTTGGGTCAGTGTTTCCTCCCAAAATTAACTAACTCAGATATCAGTCAACATGAAAATGAACATGGATCTCTTGAAACAGAGTTTTGCTGTCTATTTATGTTAAATTAATTTTTATTTTTTAATTAGCAATAATGGACTTTATATAAAACTTTCAAGTATTCCTTCGGAGGACATTTAGTTTGAGTTTTTTAAAGAGTAGATGCAGGAAAACTTGTTATTTTTAACAGTATATGAAAGCAATTTTAAAAGCCATTCAGTTGAATAAACTTTAAATAAGCTGGTAATTTTTTTTTTTTAAAGGCAAATAACCCATATTCTATTTGTTTTAAGTAAGTAATCTATGTTTTTAGGTGCTTTTGTTTCTCTGATGGTATTAATACATATCTGCATGGTTGTTCATGAAATTTTTGTATTTCTGTGTCATTGTTGGATATAAATGTATTTTGTATTGCTTTTTACTTGCCTTAACTTTACTTAGCCAGTGATTTCTAATAATAGAATTATTGTGTTAATTCAATAAAGGTAGGTGAAATATGTTTTGGAATTTTAATTCCAGCATTGGTGAGTGAATGTTGTTTTGGGATCACACCAGTATTTTTAGCCTTGGCATGCCTAGAAACGTATTTAAAATCACTCTTCACAAATAATTACATAATTGTTTTTCAACACGAAGTTACCTTTAGCATTCTGACATAAGGGACACATTATGGCATCAGCTTATGTCACCTACTGAATAGACTTTAAAAAAATAAAAACTTTAAAATTGTATTTTTTCTGTTTTCCTCCCCAGGTTTTTCCTTCAAGTATTATTCTCAGATTTTACCAAAATAGAGAATGAAATTGTGTGCATGCTGTACTGTGTGATTATATTTAAAATGAAATCTTTGTCCCATTTTGTTCCAAGTCCGTATTGCATAGCATCTGGTGTCATGACTTAAGAGATCTCATGTGTTTGCATGTGATTGAAAAGACCTAAACTGTCCAAGTTTAAGCAACGGTCTTCTTCCTTTTTAATTAATGACTTTTTAAAAATATCCAACTTCTTTTGTTGTTTTTGTTTTGTTTTTTTTTTCCAGGTTTTGAATTATATTCCATGGTGCCATCTATTTGTCCTCTAGAAACTCTTCACAATGCCCTGTCTTTAAAGCAGGTGGATGAATTTCTTGCTTCCATTGCTTCTCCATCAAGTGATGTTCCACGGAAGACCCCTGAAATTTGTAGGAAAAGTTACCTTCGTTATTATTATTTAATTGTTGGACAGTAGATATTATCTGAATATAACAAGAATTATAAAATTTTAAACTCAAGTAGTGGTAATGAATAGAATTTTAGGAGCGAAGGGTGGAAAGGGATATTATTAAGAATTCTCTGGTGTAATATGCAATGTACCACTTCTCTTGACTTTCCCCAAAAATCATTTTTCTTACAAAAAGAAAAAAAATCTTGGACCAAACAACAGAAGTTAACATAATATAGAGTCATTGTCTTTTTTAAAACTATATTTGCTGGAACTCTCACATTCCTGTTGTATATCATTTTCCAATAAACATTTTAAAAGTCACAAAATATGAGCCCATGTTAACTCACACATACACACATGCCCATCCCCTCACTACTTTTGGTAAGTAGTCATACTGGTTTAGAAGAAACTGGTGACTGAAGAGAGGACAGTAGTACATCATCTTTTCAAATTGTGTTCCTCAGAAAATATTCTCAAGAGGTTAGTTCGTGTTTGTGAAGAAAGGAGATTCATGACTAAATAAGTTTTGGAAACCATGTATTATATACCCTACCTTCCTTTGGAAAGTTATAGTAATGTTAACATGTAAAAGACTGAAGTTCTTCTGTAAAGAAAAGTGTATAACCTGGATTCTCCAGAACTAATTTTTTGAAACAAACACTTTTTTGATAATATATTTAAATATGTGGCATTATTCTGAGGTACACCATTTTGGAAAATGTCCGGGACTACCTTTTTAGTTGTGAGAAGTTAGCTGCCAATAGTCATTTTCAGTTCTGAAAGATCCTTCATCACATTGGAATTTCTAGTTTGGGAAGCCTTAGATTTGGGAGACAGTGCTGTGCTGAGAGTTAAGAATCTCTGTAGTTCCAGCTATATGTTAGAAAAGTTACTTTCTTTAAATACCACTCTTCTTTTTGTAAGATGGTATAAATAGGTTTCTACCAAGAACAAAATGAGATATTGGAGTTCTTGGAATGAAAGACACTTTTATGCCTTCTTGATTATTCTCCTCTTCCCTTGCTTGGGCCACCATATTGTATAACTCTTTTTATTGTTGTTCGGTGCTGTCAATTTGATTCCAAGTCATAGTGACCCTATGTACAACAGAACGAAGCACTGCCTGGTCCTGCGCCATCCTCACAGTCGTTGCTGTGCTTGAGCCCATTGTTGCAGCCACTGTGTCAATCCATCTCGTTGAGGGTCTTCTTTTTTGCTGACCTTGTACTTTACCAAGCATGATGCCCCACTCCAGGGACTGATCTGATAACATGCCCAAAGTACGCGAGACAAAGTCTCGCCATCTTAGCTTCTTACGAACATTCTGGCTCTACTTCTTCCAAGAAAGATTTGTTCATTCTTCTGGCAGTTTGTGGTATATTGAATATTCTTCGCCAACACCATAATTCAAAGGTCTTCCTTATTCATTGTCTAGCTTTCACATGCATATGAGGCAATTGAAAATACCATGGCTTGGGTCAGGTGCACCTAAGTCCTCCAAGTGAGATCTTTGCTTTTCAACACTTCAAAGAGGTCAGTTGTACCAGATTTGCCCAATGCAGTATGTCGTGTGATTTCTTGACTGCCACTTCCATGGACATTGATTGTGGATCCAAGTAAAATGAAATCCTTGACAACTTCAGTCTTTTCTCCATTGATCATGATTTTGCTTATTGGTCCAGTTGTGAGGATTTTTGTTTTATGTTGAGGTGTAATCCATAGTGAAGGCTGTATAACTCTAGAAAGCTCTATTCAGATTACATTTTGTACACATGGTACCCCCTAAATATTTGCAATGTAGTGGCCTTTCCCCTCTCTTCCATTTCTGGTATTAGAGGTCAGCTTTCAGTCATTAATGGCAATGATTAATGGAGAGGTATCTTAGTATGAATGTTCTAAAATATTTCACTTTAGGAATGGCTTTGGAAAGTATGTTATAATTTCAAACTGTGCATATGAATGTGTCTGATTTACCCCTCTTTACAATTCTGGTTTACCTATCTCTTTATAATTGATAATACTCCAAGTAAAATAACTTCTCTCAGCTATAAAGTCAAAGTCAGTTAAGTTGAAGGGTGTACACCTCCTTTTATGTTCTCTGTAACCTGATAAAATGGACAATACTTCTTCTCAGAAGGTAGTAGAGAACCTGAATAAATTCTGGTTTACCCCTCTTTATAGTTGCTGCTTCAGTGCTTCTCTGGGGCAGAGATTTGAAATCTTAAAATAGAGATTAAAGACAGATTCTAGCTATTAAGTAAGAACTTGGATGTTGTGTTGTTAGGTGCCGTCGAGTCGGTTCCAACTCATAGTGATCCTATAGGACAGAGTAGAACTGCCCTATAGGGTTTCTGAGCAGCGGCTGGTGGATTCGAACCGCCAACCTCTTTGGTTTGAGCTGTAGCTCGCCGTAGCTCTCAACCATTGTGCCACCAGGGCTGCAAGAACTTGGGTAGACATCAATATTATTTAGAAGATTTGCAGTGTATGCCTTGGAAGTATAGCAGCATTAATGACATCTGTTTGTTTTGAAAAGAGAATTTTAGTGGAATATTTTTAAAAACAATTACAAACTATACAAAAGATAGTAATTTTAAGACTTATTCTGTGATGCTGTTATTTTATGACAGCTTAATCTCTGTGGTTAGTGAGTTCAGTTCGTCAGACTGTATTAATGAGGCCAAAGGGTATTAGATTCCCTTTCCAGTTGTTCTAATTAGCTTTTCTGTATATCATAGATATAAATTGTACCGCAATCCCTCTAGCTTTTTTCAAATTTCATGCCATTAGTTTTTAAGGGAATTAGATGAGAAAGTAAATATAGTTAATGCAATTTAAAGAATTTGATAAACTTTAGAGATAAACTAGTTCATTGGTCTTCGAACTATGCTCCTGCAAGGCTTCAGAAGTTCCACAAGGAAGTGAAGGACACTGAATAGTTAAAGGACTTGTGTCTTCTATGGCTGCTTCAACCAGAATATCTCTGCTTTGATCCATTTTATTTAACATTTCATTTGAGAAAAATTTACTGTTTAAAGAGAAAAACCTAGAAAGATACAGTTGAGGAAATCAACTAGTTAGTGGCCAAACATGACTAAAACCCAGGCCTTCTAAAGCCTATGGTTCATTCTTTTAAATATTAAAATAGGGTGCCAATTATGATTGAAGTATCTGGCCTATTCTCTGCCAGAGGACTTCATAGACAAGAATTATCCCAATTTTTCTTTTTCACACCTCTTCAGTCTCTTTACCTTGTTTAGAAGAAAAAATTATTTAAGATTCTCTTCCATGAAGGTAAATCACATTTGAGAATATAGGAAGACAATCTGTTTGTTGAATTACTTGTAATCTGATTAGTTTATTCTTAGATATGATAGTTTGGAAGACTGTTGTGTTTGTAGATGAACCATCCATAAATCTCTACTTGATAGTTCTGAGAAAAAAACAATTTGGGGCTCTTTGTCTTAAAGATTACTAACTCCACTACCAGGCAATAAAACTATGTCATCAGCTCTCTGCCATCCCTTAAGAACCTGAGTTTTTAACAGGGCAGGGTAAAATTAAGTCTGTTGCTCTATTCTTGTTGGAAGTTTTTTGGTATATACTGTTAAAATGTTTATTGTTTACAATATAAACAGAGCATCTCTTTGGCTAAGGAAATGAGAGAACTGTTTTTATAGGAAAGATGGTTTCACTGAATTTACTCTGCAAACCTTGCCTTCTCTATTTTCTACTGTTATTATGTATATTTTTAGGGTCACTAAAATGTCATAAGAAATTTTCTAAAATATAAAGATAGAATTTGAAGGAAATGATTGAATTACCATGTTTGTTTATTTTCTTTCAGCCTCGACAGCTTCACGTTCCAGTCCAGTAGTAAGAAGAAAAATATCTCTAAATACATACACACCTGCAAAGATCCTCCCGACACCATCAACTACCTTAAGGAATACTAAAGCAAGCAGCAAACCAGGTTAGGGGTGTGTGTGGGTTTGTGGATTCTGCAGCAATTAGAGGGGCAATAATAGCTTGCTTTTTAAATGTAAGGTCTGCTTTTAAATCAGAGTTTTTATATCCAAAGCATGTTTCTAATTATGGCCTTTTATTTTAGTGAGTAGAGACTGGGTGGTACAGTGATTAAGCGCTTGGCTGCTAACTGAAATGTTGGTCGGCACTTTGAACCCACCAAGTGCTCCGTGGGAGAAAGATGTGGCAGTATGTTTCCGTAAAAATTTACAGCCTTGGAAACACTATGGGACAGCCCTACTCTGTCCTACAGGGTTGCTGTAAGTCGGAATCAGCTTGACAGCAGTGGGTTTAGGTTTGTTTGTTTTAGTGGGTGGGAGTAGGATCGTTACATTTTAATGATCCTAAGGATTAAAATTTATTATTGTAGCCTATTGATATATATGTTTGTGTGTGTGTGTGTTTTCTCTATTAATTGCACATCTGTTAATAAAATATATTTCATTCTCACACTTCTCCTCAAACTAATTTGCAGACTGTTCTTTTGCCTTTCTGTTGAGGTTGAGGAGTCATTTTAAATGAAAATATTTTTTCTCTTAACGTTTTTTAATCTTTCCACTCTTGGAGTCTGCTGATGTTACTACCAAATTCAACTCTCTTTTCTCAGCATTTTTCTATTTTGACTTCTTGGTACATTTGATTGTGTTGTTGATCCTTCCTGAAATGCTTTCTTCCCCTGGCTTGCAAGCTATTATTCTATATTGTGTTCTTTCCATTTCTGTGATTCTTCTATTTGTTTGATGAACCTCCTTCCTCTTTCTTTCCTGCCCCAGACAGGGACATTCTATTCTGTTCTTTTTTTCTTACTGTATACCTTTTCTCCTTAGAGAATTTCATATTACCTCAAGGCTTTGACCAACTTCATTAGCAGTGTCTTGTTTCTTTTCTTCCTTTTAGTGCTCTCAGATGTTCTTTTGGTTTAGCGTTTGTGCTTAGAAGTCAGAGAGACCTAAAGTAAAATCTCAGCTTTGCTACTTACTAGCTAAATGACCTTGGACAAGTTACTTAAAGTCTCTGAACCTCACTTTCATAATCATAAAATCAGGGCAGTAGTACTTCCTTTGTAGCATTGTCAGAGAGGAACGCAATAACATACATAGCTCGACACGCATAGTAAACACACACTAAATGGTGGCTGCTATTGTTACCTATAACCAAAATATTCTCCTCACTTCTCCCCAAATAAATTACTTTAACACTCCTGCCACTTTTTTTCTCCTATAATGTTCTCACCTTCTACCCCTCAATACTCAACCCAACCCAACCCCCTCCATGTTGTTGTTATTAGGTGCCATCGAGTCATTTCCAACTCACTGCAACCTTGGGTACAACAGAAGGAAACACTGCCCACTCCTATACCATCCTCACGATTGTTGTTATGTTTGAGCCCGTCGTTGCAGCCATTGTGTCAATCCATCTTGCTGAGGTTCCTCCTCTTTTTCTTCGTCCATGATGGTGCATTTATATGATTATCAAAACAAAAATTCCTATGATGCTCTGTACTACTAATTTGATCTGTTATACCCGATTATAGCTCTATCAGATTACCAGGCCTTGTAAGTCAGGGGCAATATCTTAAATAGATCTGATCTTTGTGCCTCCTAAATAATCAGTGTGTGAAACTACAGACAGAACTGAATAAGAATCTTAAATAATTGTAAGTTATAGTGTATTTCACGTACAACTCAAAGCTAACATTTGTATAGTTCTTCATACTGCACATTTTCCTATTAATTCTCATAGTTCTCACCATACTCTTCAGAGGTTAATACCATTCTTATGTCCATTACAGATGAAGAAAGTAGCAGACAGGTTGTGACTTGTCCCGGTTCATGTAGCTAGTAATCAGTAGACCCAGGATTTTAATACTTTTTGAATCACAGTATATTGTTGTTCTTTGCATTTTAGATACATAATAAATTCATTATTTCATGTACCTTTTTAATAATAAAGTTGAAATGGTATTATATTTGACTTTTCAAATCTTAAACCAACCATGCATTCCTGGGATAAACGCTACTTGGTCATGATGTACCATCTTTTTTTTTTTTTTAAATGAACTCAGTTAGATTTTAAGAAAATTTACATCTGCATCTATGAAGGTTATTTGTCTATAGTTTTCTCTTTTTTTGTGTAATATCTTTTTTAACTTTGATATCAGGGGAATGCTGGCTTCATAAAATGATTTTGAAAATATTCTCTCTTCTTTTTTCTGAATGACTAAGACTGTTTTTATTTCTCCCTTGAATGCTTCATAAAATTAACTAATGAAGCCATCTAGGCCTGGAGTTTTCTTATTGAGAAGATTTTTGTTAACGAATTAAACCACCTTAGGGCTAATCAGATTTTCTGTTTCATTCTTGTGTCAGTATTGGTAAATTGAATGTTTCAAGTAATTTGTTCATTTTATCTAAGTTGTCAACTTTGTTATTTATTTTTGTTTAATGTATATGATAATATCCTGTTATTCATGATACTCGTAATCTGTGTTCTCTTTTTTTTCTTGATCATTCTCACTAGGAATTTATCCGTTTTGTTGGTCTTTTCAAAGAACCAGTTTTTGGCTTTGTTAATAAGTTTTTCTGTTTGTTTTGTATTTTATTGATTTAATTATTGTTTTCTTACATCTGCTTACTTGGGGTTTACTTTTATCTTCTTTTTCTACTTTCTGAGATCATTGACTATTAGACATTTCTTCTTTTCATATATCAACATTTGTAGCTGTAAACTTCCCTCTAAGTATTTCTTTAGCTGCATCTGACAAGATTTGTTATGTTGTATTTAATTATCATTCAACGAAAAATTTTTTTTTCTAATTTACTGCATGGTGTTTTTTTTGGGTCATGAAGTATTTGGAAACATACTGGTTAATTTCCACATATTAGGATAGCTTGCTACCAATATCTTATTTAATTCCATTGTGATTACAAAACATATGCGGTATAATTTTAGTTCTATTAAATTTGAGATTTGTTTTGTAGCTTAACATTTGGTCTATCTTGAATGTACCTCGTGCAGTAGGAAATAATGTTTGTTGTCATACCTATAGCGTTCAGTCAGTATCCATTAGGTCAAAGTGGTTGACAGTGTTGATCAATCTATGTCTTTACTGTTGTTTTTTTCCTTTGGGGGAGGGCAGAGGTAGGGGTCTAGTTGTTCTATCAATTGCTTAGAGAGCAGTTTCCATTTGTTATTGTTGTTGTTAGCTGCCATAGAGTCAGCCAGGACTTATGGTGACCCCATGCACAAAGGAACAAAACACTGCCTGGTTCTGCACCATCCTCATGATTGATTGCAGATTGGGACTGTGATCCACAGGGTTTTCATTGGTTGATTTTTGAAGTAGATCACCAGGCCTTCCTAGTCTGTCTTAGTCCAGAAGCTCCACTAAAACCTTTTCAGCGTCATAGCAAAACACAAGCCTCCACTGACAGACAGGTGGTAGCTGTGTATGAGATGCATTAGCTGAAAATGGAATCTGAGTCTCCTGCATGGAAGGCAAGAATTCTGCCATGAAGCACCAATGCCCTTAATTTCTTTTTGCAGCTATGGAATTTGCTTTTTCCCCCTTTAATTTTGTCAATATTTGCTTTGTGTGTTTTGAAGTTCTGTTATTAGGTGCATGCATATTTGATTGTTATGTCTTCCTAAAGGATTGACCCATTTACCGTCATGAAATTGTCCTCTTGATCTTTAGTAATGCTTTGTTTTAAGCTTTATTTTATCTGATGTGAATATAGCTAATCCAGCTTTCTTGTGCTTTCTGTATGCACAGTATACTTTTTCCCTTCCATTTAATTTCAGCCAATCTGTGTCTTTATATTTGAAGTGAATTTTCTTGTAGACAGCATATATTTGGGTTTTTGCTTTGTTTTGTTTTTGCTTTGTTTAGTCCCTTAACATTTAATGTAATTTTTGATATGGTTGAGCTAGGTTTACTATTGTGTTATCTATTGTATTTTCTGTTTGTTCTCTCTGGTTATTATTTCTTTGTCTTTTCTTTCTTTCCTTCTTTTATTCATTCAGTCATTTTTAGAATTTTATCTATTGGCTTTTTAGCTATATTTCTTCATATTGTTGTTTTACTGTACTTTTTAATCACTTTTAAGTAAAATGTAGAAGCTTTGCAATCATATAGAGACTAAGATCTTTTAGGACTGCTTGGCAAGTCTCTAGGTGGCGCAAACCATTGACACTCTACCACTAACTTAAAGTTGGGGCCCTAGTGGTGCAGTGGTTAAGAGCTCAGCTTCTAACCAAAAGGTCAGCAGTTGGAATTCACCAGCTGCTTCTTGGAAACTTTATGGTGCAGTCCTACTCTGTCCTGTAGGGTCACTATGAGTTGGAATCGGCTTGACAACAATAAGTTTGGGTGACTAACCTAAAGACTGAGGGTTAGAACCCACCTAGTGGTACCACAGAAGAAAGACCTAGTAATTTGCTCCCGTAAAGATTACAGCCAAGAAAACTTTATGGAACAGTGCTACTCTGTAGCACATGGGATCTCCATGAGTTGGAATTGACTCAATGGCAATGGATTTTGGACTGCTTGGAGCTTGCTCTACTCATACCATAGATTTGATCAGGGTTTATACAGATAATTAGGGGCTCTCCCTTTCTGGGATTTCCCACCTCACTTCCCAGCAACCATAAGTACCCCAATCCTTGTCTTCTGGTTCTTCAAGCCGGTAATCCTGTTAACATCAAACCTGTTGCCTTCGAGTTGATTCTGACTCATAGCGACCCTATAGGATAGAGTAGAACTGCCCTATAGGATTTCTAAGGCTGTAAATCTTTACGTAAGCAGACTGCCACTTCTTTCTCCCGTGGAGCGGTTAGTGGGTTCAAACCTCCCATCTTTCAGTTAGCAGCTGAGCGCTTAACCACCATGCCACCAGGGCTCCTCAAGCCGGTAATACTGGGTTTTGTATTAGAACTTTAACATTTCACATGATACAGACTGGGACCTTTCCTCAGGCTAAAAGCTGTAAAAAAAAAAAAGTTGGGGGTGGGGAAGAAGGGGAACTCATCCTATGTTGTTCCCTTTTTCCAAGCGGCAGTTCTTCTCCAGTATCTGCCTGCTTTTGTTCACTCTTTGGTGTCTCCAGATAGTTGTTTTCATATTTTGTCAAGAGTTTATATTTGTTATCTGTGAGAGTTTGATAGGAGCTGACTCATTCATACCAGAAGTGTAACTCCACTTAGAATAGCTGTTTGATAACTCAGTAGGCCTTAATGTTGGTTTGGATACGGAAGGATGAGCCCAAGTCAAGAATGGTTTTGAGTTTTCCAACCTTTCAGCTTTATGGATAGTGATAAAATAGAAGATATAGAAGGAAGTAGATCTTTGCAGAGAAAACGAGTTCAGTTTTAAACATGTTATGGTTATGTTTCCTGCCCGGTATCTACACAGAAATTTACAGTAGGCAGTTTGAGCTAAGGGAAAAAGCCTGGGCCAGAAGTATAAATTTGAAGGTCATTAGCACAATAAGAGGTAGTTTAAAAACATGGGAATGAATTAGTTTCCCAGGAAGAATGTAGAGTGAAAAGAGAAATTTGTGTTGTACCCACACCCCATTGATATTACTTTTCTGTACTGGTGTTGAATTCTAAAAAGTAAAGGTTAAATATGTTAATTGCCTACAATGTTTCATATACATCACATTATAACAGGAATTATTCTGTCACCCAGCAGTATTATTTGAACATAGATTGCTTGTGAAAATCTAAGCAATGGTTTTTCTTTTTTCTTGTATAGCTACCAGTGGACCTTCTAGTGCAGTTACTCCTAGTACCTCATCTCGGAAAAAGAGTATATCTAGCAAAACAGAAGTGCATGAACACAAAAAAAACACTGGGAAGAAGAAATAAAATCTTCTTAGTAGAAGCTAGAACTTCTTATACCAATGAAAATCACGTTAAATAGAAAAAGATAACTAATAAGCCTTGACTGAAAACTGTTAAAGCAAGTAATTTATGTTTCTCTTTACACATCTCTGTATTCATTTTAAAAATGTTTTTAAATCTTGAGGATTCATTGTATGTATTCAGGTAAGGAACTTAGTCTAGAAACATTTAAAATAATGTTTATTAGCATTTTGTGGGTAGCAAAACTTACAATGATAAAGGTCTGCTGTTCTTAATATCATGTTTACCATGGACCTGTGATAAAGAAAAGAAATAAATGCCCCCTGGCCTGTACCAGTGTCACACCGGTGATGTTACTTACTAAAGAGTCTGATGAGGTGGCTTTGCAGATAATTTTCTTTTCTCCGGATTGCATCTTGGCTGTAAAAACCTTTGACTTAAATTGAAATTTGCCAGAATTTCATACTAGGGCCTTTTTTTTTAAGTGCATTTTTCCAGAGAGATTTCATTGACCATTTAATTAGAAGCTTTTTTCCCCAATTGTTAAAGTAACATATATGCTGCAATATTTAATAACTGGAATATTGATGTATGGGATATTTTTTTTCAATCTATGCTTGAATTTTTTATTGTGTGTTATTTAAAACATTACATTTACAACTGGTATAGCTATACCTTTATGCACATCAATTTATATGTTAATTTGTAGAAAATATTTTCTTTATATATTTCCTTATAAGAGGTGCTTTTGTTCATCAGGAAAAGTTTGCTTCACATATTGGCAAGAATAGCACCTTTTGAATTTCTTTTTAAGAGATATAGTTGACAAATTTGTAAATATTACACTTCTTTTAGATCTAAGGAACTCAATTCAGAAATGGAAATCGTCAATGTTAGAAGAATATCTGAATTCTGTAAAGTTAGTAGGTATTGTGTGTATCATCTGTTCTTACCATTTCCATTCTTATCTCTAATGTATCAGTCTCACTGAGAATCTGACGCTTGAAGATTGAACATTTGAAGTAAATGTTCTTTACAACTGACTAGATTTTTGAAGGGAAATTGACATCAGTGTGTTGTGATTTCATCTGCAATGTGAAAAAAATTTATTATATTTGGTGCTTTTTTTCCTCTGATGCACAAATAATTATGAACTACTTGAGATGACTTAAACTGTAAACCAAACAGTGCAACCTAATAAGAAATGCATTGAATGTTAGATAATTTAAATTGCTAAGACTTTAGCTTGAAGCTTACATTTAGACAAAGAAATTTCTTGAATTCTCTTCATATAAATACAACTATTGTAATTCTTCAAAAGAGACTCTGCTAACCTTAAATTGCCGCATCTGGACTGACTTTTAGAAAATAATCATATTACGTGTTATTTTATGTACCAGGTACAAGTCACAAGTATATATAATTATATGTGTTCTTATACTTCATCATACTTCACATGAATGTAAATGAGTTATATGGAGACATGTCTTGTAAACAGTTGAATGTACCAAAGTTTTCTGTATGTAAAAATGTGGTAAATGTGTTTATCGTGGGGATGAGGAAACAACTTTTATTTTTAAGTGGAACTGAATTAAAATATCAGTTTGTTTCTATATCAGAGTGACTTAAATGATAAATTATTATTTATGTTCTTTGATTATCTCTTTCCTTTTAGCTTTCAAAGTACAAAGAATGAGGAAAACAATTTTAATATTAAATAATACTTATCATCGATATTAAATCAAATTTATATTGGCCATACACATAATATCATATTACTTTTCCACAGCAGTTACCTACAGGTTACTAGAAAGTATAATACACTCACTTTTTCCATTATTACCAGGACTGTGACTTCACTATACTCACTAAGCTCTGTAGCTTTGCAGTGAAGACTAAGAAGTTTTACTTGCAAGAATCCTAGAATTATTTTCAAAAGCAAAGTCTTCACCAGTACTGCTCAAACTATTTCAGAGCGTAGAAAAGGAAGGAATACTCCTAAATTCATTCCTTAAAGCCAACATAACCCTGATATCAAAGCTAGGCAAAGACCCCACAAAAAAAGAAAATTACAGACCAGTATCTCTAATGAATATAGATGCAAAAATTCTCAACAAATTTCTAGCCAGTAGAATTCAGCATCATATCAAAAAAAATAATAATAATAATGCACCACAACCAAGTGAGATTCATGCCAGCTATGCAAGGATGGTTCAACGTTAGAAAATCAGTCAACATAACCCACCACATAATAGAACAAAAGAATCATATAATCATCTCAATCAGCACAGAAAAGGCATTTGATAAAGTCCAACACCCATTCCTGATAGAAACTCTCAATAAAAAAAAATAGAAGGGAAATTCCTCAACATAAAAAAGGGCTTCTGTACAAAACCAACAGCCAGTATCATTCTCAATGGAGAGAGGCTGAAAGCATTCCCCTGGAGAACAGGAACAAGACAAGGATGCCCTTTATCACCACTTGTATTTAACATTGTGCTGAAAGTCCTAGCTAGAGCAGTAAGACAAGAAAAAGAAATAAAGGGCATCCAATTTGGAAAGGAGGAAGAAAAACTATCCCTACTCACAGATATGATCCTATACATAGAGAACCCCAAAAATTCCACAAGAAAACTACTGGAACTAATAGATTCAGCAGAATAGCAGGATACAGGATCAACATACAAAAGTCAGTTGGATTCCTATACACCAACAAAGAACTTCAAAAAGGAAATCAGGAAAACAGTACCATTTATAATATCCCCTAAAAAAGATAAAATACTTAAGAATAAATCTAACCAGGGACATGACAGACCTATACAAAGAAAACCGCAAAACACTATTGCGAGAAACCAAAAGAGACGTACATAAATGGAAAAACATATTATTCCCATGGTTAGGAAGACTCAATATTGTAAAAATGTCAGTCTTACCCACAGCAATCTACAGATATGATGCAGTCCTGATCCAAATACCAACAGCATTCTTTAACAAGATGGAAAACTAATCAACTTTATATGGAAAGGAAAGAGTCTCCAGATAAAGCAAAGTTTTACTGAAGAAAAAGAGCAAAGTAGGAGGCCTCACACTACCTAATCTCAGAACTTACTATATAGCTATGGTAGTCAGAACAGCCTGTTACTGGTACAACGACAGATACATAGACTAGTGGAACAGAATCAAGAACCCAGATGTAAATCCATCCACCTGTGGTCAGCTGGTCTTTGACAAAGGACCAAAGTCCATTAAAGGGGAAAAGACAGTCTTTTTAACAAACGGTCCTGGCAAAATTGCAAGTCTGTCTGTAAAAAAATGATACAAGATCCATACCTCACACCATACACAAAAACTAACTCAAATTGGATCAAAGACCTAAATATAAAGCCTAAAACAAGAAAGGTCATGGGAGAAAAAACAGGGACAATACTAGGGGCCCTAATACATGGCATAAATAGGATACAAACCATAACTAACAATGCACAAACACCAGAAAATAGATAACTGGGAACTCCTAAATATTAAACACGCTCATCAAAAGACTTCACCAAAAGAGGAAAAAGAGAACGTACAGACTGGGAAAAAAATTTTGGCTATGACATATCTGACAAGGGTCTAATCTCTAAAATCTGCAAAGATCTTCAACACCTCAACAACAGAAAGACAAATAATCCAATTAAAAAATAGGCAAAGAATATGAACAGACACTTCACCAAAGAAGACATTCAGGCAGCTAGCAGACACGTGTAGAGGTGCTTGCTATCATTAGCCATTAGAGAAATGCAAATCAGTGAGATAGCATCTCACCCCAGCGTTACTGGAACTAATCAAAAAAACAGAAAATAGCAAATGTTGGAGAGGTTTCGGGGAGATTGGAACTCTTATGCACTACTGGTGGGAATGTAAAATGGTACAGCCACTGGAAAACGATATGGTGCCTCCTTAGAAAGCTACAAATAGAAATACCGTACAGTCCAGCAATCCCACTCCTAGGAATACGTCCTAGACAAATAAGAGCTGTCGCACAAATAGACATATGCACACCCATGTTGCAGCCTTATTCACAATAGCAAAAAGATGGGAACCGAAGTGCCCATCAGCAGATGAATGGATAAATTATGGTACATATTCACAGTGGAATACTAAGAAATGCTAAAGAACTATGATGAATCCTCGAAACATCTCTCTCACAACATGGATGTATCTGGAGGGCATTATGCTGAGTGAAATAAGTCACTCACTAAAGGACAAATATTGTATGAGACCACCTCAAGAAAAGGTTTACATACAGAAAAAAATCTTTGATAGTTACAAGGGAGAGGAAATCACTAGATAGTAGACAAGTGTTAACTTTGGTGAAGGGAAAGACAACACACATTATAGAGGAACTCAGCACAACTTGACCAAGGCAAAGTCATACAAGTTTCCTAGACACATCTAAACACTTTGGGGGACTGAGTTACTGGGGCAGAGGCCTGGGGACCATAGTCTCAGGGGCAATATAGGTCAATTGGCATAACAATTCCTAAAAAAATGTTTACATCCAACTGTGGTGAGTAATGTCTGGGATCATAAAAGCTTGTAAGCAGCCATCTAATACATCTATTGGTCCCAGCACGTTCGGAGCAAAGACATAAAATATTAGTCCAAAGGACTATTGGACCTCATGAGGCCAGAAGAAATAGATGGTGCCTTGCTACCACCATCAACCACGATGACAGGAATCAAAATAGAGGGTCATGGGTAGAGTGGATATAAGAAAAGCAATAACCAAATAAATATCAGTAACATGAAGAAAATTTTCTTTGGATCAAAAGCATCTCAATGTGCTGGGAAGGAATATATTAAAAAGGCAATTTCCTAGTGAATATCTAAACTCCAAGGAAAAGGAACATGAAGCTTCAAGAGAAACAAAATAGGTCATTAACAAAGGAAATATAATTGAATGGGTGTTAGAATTCCCAGGTGATAATCAGTGCCACAGGAGGGTATGGGGTGAAGCCATGTATTTAGTTTCCCTAAGCCATAGTGTCCATCACCATTATTGTACATAAACTTATAGTCTATATAAAAACTATGGCATGCAATTGTATGTTTAGGGTAAGTTTCTTAAATCTGCAGCCAACTTATGTAAAAAGACCCATCAAGCTATTTTCATCAGTTCTAGGAATTTTTTTTTCTTTCATATTTTAACTTACTTGAAATTGGAGCATGTATTAAAATTGTGTGTCAGAGTTTATTTTTTCTCGTCTTGGTTTGGTACATTAAATAATGGTTCATTTTGCAAGTGATGTTTTGCTAGATTCATTAATATACAACATGTGGAAATAGAATGTTTGCTAGTTAAATAAAAGCATCGAGTCCCTAGCTCTCCTTTCCTACTACATTGTACTCCTATGCTGCTCCTGTTTAGAAATTTTGAGTTAGATCTAGGGAATGAAATTAGGGGAAAGGGAAAGAGACAATCCCTGCAGATTGCTTACATTTTCTGCTTTGTAACTCTTTGGAGTACCTGGGTGGTGCAAATGGTTTATACAGTTGACTGCTAACCAACAGGTTGGAAGTTTGATTCCACCCAGAGGTGCCTTGGAAGAAAGTCCTGCTACTTTAAAGAAATCAGCCACTGGGTATTGGCCCAAGAGACAGAATGGGCCACATAAACCAGAGACTTCATCAGCCTGAGACCAGAACAACTAGATGGTGCCCGGCTACCACAATGAATGTCCCGTCAGGAAACACAACAGAGGGTTCCTGATGGAGCAGTAGAACGATGGGATGCAGAACTCAAATACTAGTAAGAAGACCAGACTTAATGGTCTGACTAAGACTGGAGGCACCCCAGAAATCATGGCCCCTGGTCTCCCATCACCCTAGAACTGAAACAATTTCCGAGGCCATCTCTTCAGACAGGGATTAGACTGGACTGTGGGACATAAAGTGATACTCATGAAGAATGTGCCTCTTAGACAAGTAGATATAAGAGACCAAAGGGGCGGCTTCTGTCCAGAGGTGAGAGGGGAAGGCAGAGAGAGTTAGGAGCTGGTTGAATGTTCATGGGGAATCGGGCGGAGGGGAGGAATGTGCTGTCGCAGAATGGGGTGAGCGGCTGGGGTCTCATAACAATGTAAAAAAAAAATTCTGTATGGGAGACTAAAAAAAAATCAGCCGCTGGAAACCCTATGGAGCACAGTTCCACTGTGACATACATGGGGTCTCCATGAGTCGGAATTGACTTGATGGCAACTGGAAACTCCTTCTTTATCTGCAAACATTGAGTCAAATTTTGTTAAAATGATCTTAAAGTCTCAAGGAGAGTTGAATAACACAACTTGTATTAGGATTTCAAGCATTAAAAACCAGTTTTGGTTAAAAAGGATTTATTAAGAGGATATTAGGTAGTCACAAATCTCCAGGAAGTGGAGTACCAGGTTTGGAAGTTATGTAGCCAGCAACAAGACCAAAAATAACACAGAGCTGATTCAGTAAAGTACTGCATTTTGTGCTGTCAATACCGTGGACATTGGACACATCCACTAGAAACTAGATAAACCGCCTCCATTTGCTTGAATGGATTCCATTCAGCCCTTCTTTGAATTCCTATCTTTGGATTCAATGTTTAGTGAATGTGTCTGGTTGGCAGAACCTAGGTCATGTATCCAAGCCTTGACTGCAAGAGAGCTAGGAAAGTGAGAAAAATTAACTTCTATGGAGATCGATAATGAGCCCTGGTGGTGCAGTGGGTTAAGCACTCGGCTACAAATGAAAGGTCCGCAGTTCAAACCCACCAGCCACTCTGTGGGGGAAAGATGTGGCAGTCTGCTTCCGTAAAGATCACAGGCTTGGATACCTTATGGGGGCAGTTCTACTGTGTCCTGTAGTGTCACTATGAGTTGGAATCGACTCAACAGCAGTGGGTTTTTCGTATGGACATAGATAGGTTCTGTCTCAAGCTGCAGATTTCCCTCGAAAAAAGGAAAATGCCCAAAAAGAATGACAAATGCATACTACTCAACTGTACTCAGGCATGAGGCAACACCATATGGGG